CCCTCGCCACAATTCTGTAAAGTTGCCTTTAGGGTTTCTTTCTAAGCCGCTTGCACCTTACTTTATTCTTCCTTTAGACACATTTTCTTTGATCTGTAGAGATTTGTGGTCTCATTAGTGCGATGTCCTGGGACTTCCGTTGTTTAAGTGGGCCAGTGCCACCATATGTTTAAGTCATTAATTTCATGAAATCCAACATGAATCAATCAGTCAATCTCTCTCTCTCTCTCTCTCTCTCTCTTTTTTTTTACCTCCTCTGACTGCTGGCCTCCAAAATGTGGAGCTGTGGATATTTTCAAGAGACAGTATTTCAGATGTATCTTCAAGTTCTTTTACCAAGTAGCAGTGAGAAACACTTGGTTTAGTAGAAGACTGATGTTAAGGCTGTCAGTGTTGAGACCACAGTACATACGTGAGACAGTGTAAGGGAAGGGCAGAAACTTTCCAGTTTCTTTTAAGTGCATTATAAGAACCTGTCTTCAAACTTGGTTATATGTGGAGTTCTCTGCCACCATGTGATCGAAGATTTTTAGAAGATTCAGCAAAAGATGTTCAACCAGATGTTTTTAGGGAGCAAAATTCATTTTACGTGTAGCTAACAAAATTGGGGGACGAGTCCTCTTCTGTACTCCTGGGTTTTATAGATAAACTTTAGAATCACAATGTTGTTAGTACTTACTTTGAATAGATTAGGATATGCTGGTTATACTTAGTGGTTTTATAATATTTGAAGTAAATACACTGGAAGTTCAGTTCTGTATGAGAACGCGCTTTAAACAACTATTTAATGATTTTTGCTTCATGTATTATACATGTGATATGTGTTCAGGGTAAAATTTTAAACAGTGCAAATAGTTTTTTATCCCTTTCCCCAAAGGTAACCACTTTTAAGTGTCTTGTGAGTTATCCCTGAAAATACCTTCACAAGTGTAAATGTATACATTCATTTTTATGTGAATGGACCTTAATACACATACACATATAATTCATATGCTGTGAACCTGGATTTTTCACTCCATATATTTCACGTTGCCACATACAAGATTTTGTTAAAGCAGCTATGTAGTAGTCCATAATATGGATGTATTATTTATTCAACCAACCCACCTATGAAAGGACATTAAGGTTTCTAGTGTCCTTTTAAAAATAAGAGTACATGCTAAAAATAAGAGTACATGCATACTTATCTTTTCAGACTTTGCCAGGTTTACTTGAAATACTTAAAAGTAGTATTTGTCCTTGGAAGTAAAGTGCATTTATTAGTTGCATCAATTTGCACTCCTGTATTAGTGGGATGTGATGATGCCTATGAAAACATTTTAATGCATTCTGCTAACTCTGGGGGTAATTTTTCACCAAAATAAGTTCCTAATCCCAAACCATAATAGAAATTGCCATGTGTTACAAAGCAGAACAGCATTGTAATTAGTAAGCTAGTTTAATTCTCCCTCTTCCCTCCAGTTGCTTAAGTCTCTATTGTCAAGCCTAGTGGGGAATCTCTCTTCTATTGAACTAAATACCAGTGTCTGGTTCAGCTTGAATTCCGATTGGTGCCTGTTGTAAATCTTTTATCACTTGCATCACTTTGGGGATAATTAGCAGCATTCAGCACATTTTCTCATAAAGAACAATTGGAAAGTATAGTTGACCCTTGAACAACACAGAGGTTAGGGACACCAGCTCCCACCCCCCTAACACTCCCAAAATTTAACTACTGATAGCCTCCTGTTGACTGGAAGCCTTACCAATAACATAAAGAGCCAGTTTATACATATTTTGTATGTGTGTTATATACAGTATTTTTACAACAAAGAAAGAGGAAAAAAACGTTATTAAGGAAATCATAAGGTGAAAAGATACATTCCAGTACTGTACTGTATTTATCCCCCTCAGAAAGAAATCCACATATAAGTAGACCTGCACAGTTCAAACCCATGTTCAAGGTTCAGCTGTACTGTCAGTCTTTTTATTCCTAGTGAAAACATTCAGGTAGTACATTTTTACTTTCTTTGTATATCCCAGGAATATATTAATGTGTGAAGTAAGTCTTATAAAACAGAATATTCTTAATTTGACACCAAAAAACGTAAATGTTAGAGGGGAAGTTTCCTGATGTCACATAACACAAAGTTTGACTGTAAATAGAGCTTAAGAAAGCAAAATATTAGTTGGAAAAGTAAATAGCTGTGCATAATAATACTTTAATGCCCCTTTTTTTTGCCTTATGAAATGAGCTGTTTATAAGTAATGAAGCCAAATTAAATTGAGTATTACAGTCTGATATGGCAAATAAAGAAATTTTTTTAACTAAAAATTGGCAAAAGCCCAGTAAGTATTTTTGTAATTTACTCAGTCAAAATAAAAATACTTAGTTGACACAAATACTGAACTGTTGACTAAGGTAACTTGCATTCAAACATGAAATGAAGTACAGTAAAGGACTCATTGTAATATATTGTTGAAATCATTGAAAGTCTTGAAAAGTTTTAAAAGTTTTTAAAATTTCCATTATATAAACTATCTGGTAGGCTTTATGTTATATTTCTGTTAAATCTTCAAGAATTTTTCTCTTTAACTTTACAAAAAATGTTTCTGATGCTTGAAGAAATGATTTAAATGCTTCTAAGTCTAAAAATACAATGATTAACATGAATAAGCAATTTGAATAAATAGTCGACAGGTAGTACAAAGTTGAATGTCCATGGCATTCATGACTGGACATTTTTATGTGACACAAGCTTAAGTATTTTATGAAACATATGCTTGGATTTTATATTCTTAGTTTTTCCATTGACTTTGTTCTTCATTGATTGTAGTATAGAACTACATCAATGAGATTTGAATTGGAGGAGGGTAATGTATTGAAAAATATACCTGATTTTTGAGGAACCAGGTTGTTTATTTACTAGGTAAAAATTGTACCAGGTAAAACTTGCCCCCTCTTTTCATATGCAAGGTTGGCTCACCATAAATATTTATGGAATGAGTGAAATGAGTATTTCTTAGCATTTCTCCTTTGTATGGACAGAAAAGGGGGAGGTGAAATACTTTGCATTGTGTGAATGTGCATGGTGAAATCAAATGGAGTTGAAATTCTGTTTGCCAGGAAACTGGCAACATTCATTGAACCTGCCTGGCCTAGGGCTAGGAATATTCTTCGAAAGATTGCTTATATATTCTTTATATAGGTATTCTTTACATTTGCTGCACTCTGATGTGCTAAGTGCTGGAATACAAGGAGATACCAGCCCTGTCTTGGTGGCACTCTGTCTGTTCAGGGTTTTAAGGTTGTGCTCTTTTTGCCAAACTATTATCCTTGACCAGTATTATGGTGTAAATGTAATACTATATCTGGATTGCTACAGTGGAACATAACAAATGGGAGAACCCTCTCTCAGGAGTCAGATGTCACTCATACCAAACTCTCTCTCCATTGACTTCTAATTCTAATTCCTTATGGAATAGAGTTCAGTATTGGACTTAATATTTCTAAGTCTCTACTAGAATTAGCACAGTATAACTGTCACACTAATAGTCCCAGCTGGGCATGGTTTTCCGAGAGTGATATCCTAATAAAGAATTTTTTTCTGAAACTTGATTTAGACCACTGGAAATTTAACTGTTTAACATTTATGGCAGATACAGTGCATCAGGAGCTAGGCTAGATACAAAAATAAAAAGGCATTTTTATTATATACTGAGAGACTGTGTTTAAATGGAAAGGCTACACCGGTCGTTCAGTTGCATTCATAAAGATTAAGTGAGAAACCTCAAGGTACATTTCCATTTTTGCAATCATCTTATGAATATCTCTACATAAATTATCTCATTTCTGTATACATAAATTCAGACCATCTTCTCTCCTCAGCTGTGAATGCTTGTCACAGTTTTCGGCATTGTTGTATTCCTCTGTGCTTACGCGCTTGAGAGGAACTTGAGTTTATCAGAGGATTTTGAATTCTCCTCTTCCCCCCAGATGTGTTCTTTCATTGAGATATGTTTGAGAAGTTTGAAAACTGTGCAGCACTGCATAAACAGAACTGACTGGTTGGTGGAGTCAGGCCCCAGGAGCAAAACCCAGAAAGAACATTCGGTGCTGGGGAGATTGTGAATACGGTTGGCCTCAGGAAACCAGAGTTCTCTCCAGCATTTATTGTATTTGACCTTGGGCAGGTCATTTAACTTCTGAGCCTTTATTTCAGTATCTGTCAATATCTCAGGGATGCCACAGAGCGCTTAATAGAAGTTATGAGGTAGATGTGCATTTGGGGAGACCCTGTTTTCCCACCCTTTTCCTTGTCACTTCTGTCCAGAGGAACTAGGTAGGTTATAGGGGTAGTGGCTATTAGAGAGTAGACAAGTGAAGAGTTGTCTTTGGGAGAACAATTCTATACTTCAAATAATGATTTTTTTCCACAGTAATAGACTACTATTACAGAATTCTTTATTTTATTTTATTTTATTTTATTTTTTTAATGTTTGTTTTTGAGAGAGAGAGAGACAGAGCGTGTTTTAATGTTTATTTTTGAGAGAGGGAGACACAGAATCCAAAGCAGGATCCAGGCTCTGAGCTGTCAGCACACAGCCTGATGTGGGGCTCGAACTCATGGACCGCGAGATTATGACCTGAGCCACAGTCGGACACTTAACCGACAGAGCCACCCAGACGCCCCTGTTATAGAATTCTTAGAATACATGCACATGAATCTATACTTCTCTTTAGCTTTTGTAGACAATGTATACTTAGATCTTATATTTTGATCTACTCTGACAATCTGTCTTTTAATTGGTGTCAACTTTTTATTGTTAACCAGTTTGCTCATTTTACATTATTCATGGAGAAGGGAAGCAGTGCCCCGAGTCACAAAACTAGATTTCTAGAATATTAAAACAGTATTAAAGAAATTATGTTAAAATCTCCTGGCCAAATTTCTCCTGGCCATATTCATTTATTTGTGTATATAATAAGGTTTTAGTATAATCCCTCTCGAAAGAAGAATTTGAATGCTTTCTTCCCTTTCTTGGATTTACTTCATCTAAGGTATGTTTCTGGTAGTTTGTAAGTAGTGGTAACATAAACCATTTCTACGTCATCTGATCTAGAAAATGTTGACAAGATAAGTAGTTTTCCATGATGTAAAGGGATACTGGGTAAGCACTTGCTTTACAGCATGGTGGCTCAGGTCACATTTAAGAATTTTTTGGCCCTCATAGGCCTTGAGTTTTATTATTTACAGAAGCAAAAGTTGGGAAAATATGCACTTACATTAGAAAAATCTAAGAGCTAAATGTAGAAAGGAGCTTGAAAGTCACTCCCTGGACATCCTCTCTTTCCTTACCAGGAGAAAATTTTAACACCAGACCTAGATTACATGACTTCGTATGCACAGACCTTTCCCAGTCTTATTTCATTTTTTTCCACTGGTGTGCTCGTGAAGTTTTTGAACATCTTCTAACCTTTAATGTTTTTCTTTTCCCTGAAGGAAACCTACGAGAATATCCCAGGCCAGTCAAAGATCACATTCCTCTTACAAGCCATCAGAAATACAACAGCTGCTGAGGAGGTACTATTTTAATATTTGAGGATATGACATTCTTACAAAACAAAATACAAAGTTGGGTATTAGATGGTGGTCCATGTGGGTAATGAGAACTGGTGATTACTGCATAGATGATACCAGAACTTTGAACTTATATTTGCGAAAAGCTACTTTGCAGTTACATTTTTTTTTAAGTATTCTATTAAATAATTTCTCTTTTCCATGTCAGATGATGTGTTCAGGATATTTGAGTTAATACTTTTTATTTTACATAAAAATTTATTAAATTTAAGTGATTTCTGTGGTTATAAAAAATATTTCTTCCTTGAAACCATCCTAAAGGAGGAAATTTAATTCATTCGTTGTTTTAATATGTTGCCAGATGTTTCTGAAAAAATATGTTTTGTCTGTCTTTAAAATTCTTATGCTTATTATAATCATCCCTAGGTGGTGAATAAGATGTGTTAAAGATGTTTAGGAACAAAGAGACACTTTGTTGAATCCTTTATAAACTGGTTTTTAGCAAATGACCTGATGACTGTACCAAATTCAAATGTGTTTTTCTTACTGGTTTTATATGCATAAGCAGCTGATTTTTTTTTCTTGCCCAAAGTAATATCCTTACATATATTGAACGTTAAGTGAATATTTTATTTATTTCAGAAAAGGTGTGAAAATATCCAAGTCTAGAAAACTAATCCCACCTATGAAACATGGAATTTAGAATGTGTAAAGTGAGGGTGTTCTAGCTGGCTTGTTGATAGAGCATGCGACTCCTGATCTCAGGATCATGAGTTTGAACCCCACATTGGGAATAGAGGTTACTTTCAAAAAATAAAAAAGTGACAGAATTTGTAAAGTGAGACTTTTGCTAATATTAAAACATGATGGAAACAAAGCCACACTAAATTTCTACATACTGTTACACGTGACTTCTTGTAGTCAGTCGGTTTAAATTGGCAATTTAATGTTCTGTGGTATTACTTAAAAACAGTATGAAAGTACCCCAGTTTGTTTTTTTTTTTAATTTTTCTTTTCAATGTTTATTTATTTTTGAAGGAAAGAGACAGAGTGTGAGTGGGGGAGGGGCAGAGAGAGGGAGACACAGAATCTGAAACGGGCTCCAGGCTCTGAACTGTCAGCGCAGAGCCCGACATGGGGCTCGAACTCACAAACTGTGAGATTGTGACCTGAGCTGAAGTCGGTCGCTTAATCAACTGAGCCACCTGGGTGCCCCGAAAGTGCCCCAGTTTTTAAAAATAGATGACTGGGGCGCCTGGGTGGCTCAGTCGGTTGAGCGTCTGACTTGGGCTCGGGTCATGATCTCACAGTTCGTGAGTTTGAGCCCTGCGTCAGGCTCTGTGCTGACAGCTCAGAGCCTGGAGCCTGTTTCGGATTCTGTGTCTCCCTCTGTCTCTCTGACCCTCCCCCGTTCATGCTCTGTCTCTCTCTGTCTCAAAAGTAAATATACGTTAAAATAAATAAATAAATAATTAATTAATTAAAATAGATGACAAAAGGTGCTTCTTCACCTTTGTAATATATCCTTTTATTCCAAATGAATGTTAAAATATGAAGAATAAACATAAAGTAACAAATCTCTAGAAACAATTGGCTATTTTAATTCTTGAAAATTGAATCAAGTTAATTATGAAACACATTTTAAAGCCAAGAGTAAATAATACTAAAACTGTCGAATTTTACTTTTAAAAACCTACATTGAACCTGTGTTAAATCTTGAATTAGATGATGATTATGAACTAGCCTCAGTGTCTTCATTATGGCTTCATTGTTTTCAGTGTGTGAGAACTGCACAAATTTTAGGCACTTTTACAGGGATTTTAACCATTTTGAACCCTTTCTAGAGCATTGAAATTTCTTTAAAAGTTTGCTGTTTGCCAAAATTGAAATAAGATTCAGGGCCACCTGGGTGGCTCAGTCCTTTAAGCATCCAACTTGGGCTCAGGTCATAATCTCACAGTTTGTGGGTTCAAGAGCCTGCTTCAGATTCTGTGTCTTCCTCTCTGTCTCTGCCCCTCCCTTGCTCACTCTCTGTCTCTGTCTCTCTCTCTCTCAAAAATAAACAAACATTAAAAAAAATTTTTTTAAGTAAAAAAAGATTCAGTGAAAAATAACTTCGGGAAAAAATTGGCACATTTTATTTGTAAAGCTTAACTTTTTTTTGTTGGTCATAGTCCCAAAGTAATTATGATAATGAGTAGCCCATGAAAAATTGGGTTTAATAGTTTTAATGGCTTATTTATTTAGTATGATAAAATTTTAGAATGATTTTTTTCTTGACTCATTATAATCTAAAGGAATATCATACAAAAAACGCCAAACTTAAATATAGTCTACAGATTTTTAATTGGGATAAGAATGTACACATTGATATTGATTAGCACTTGTAGGCATTAGGAACTTGTAATGTTTGTCTGCTTGAATGAAGCATAAAGATAAATGGATTTGATAGCATGTTATCAAAGGTTAATGAAAGGGCTGTGATACAGTGAGATAAGGCCAGGCTAGGAGTAAGATTAGGTATACTGGAATGAGAAGTAGGACAAGAGCATTCTAGAGTTTGCAGTTTATATTAATACTTATTTTTCTTCAAAAAATCTATTAAAAATAGCAATTAAAGATAAGTTTACCATTGCTAAGGTATATTTTTTATTTGTGATCTGATGTGTTCAGGGCTTTTCCTTACTTATTAACAAAAAGAGCTTTTGGGTAGCATGTCAGTACAGTAGACTAATGTGATTAGAGAGAGTTTTATGTATTTTATCTTTTTTAAAAAGAATCTAGCAAAGTGCTTTAGAAATGAATTGTAAAATACACCCATGGTGGAGTGAATGTAGTTTGTTAAAAATTGTTTCTCTTGAAAGATACCAAGTTCTTAACCATGCTCTTCATTTATAGGCTAGACAAATGGCTGCCGTTCTCCTAAGACGTCTTTTGTCCTCTGCATTTGATGAAGTCTATCCAACTCTTCCTTCTGATGTTCAGACTGCCATCAAGAGTGAGCTACTGATGATTATTCAAATGGAAACCCAGTCTAGCATGAGGAAAAAAATCTGTGATATTGCTGCAGAACTGGCCAGGAATTTAATAGGTGTGTATGCAAATACATTCATTATTACGTTTTGGAAGAAAATGAGTATATTCTTCCTTTTTTTTTTTTTTTCTAAAGTGGAGTCTTTTTAAAATTTTTTAAAAAATGTTTATGGGGGCGCCTGGGTGGCGCAGTCGGTTAAGCGTCCGACTTCAGCCGGGTCACTATCTCGCGGTCCGTGAGTTCGAGCCCTGCGTCAGGCTCTGGGCTGATGGCTCGGAGCCTGGAGCCTTTTTCCGATTCTGTGTCTCCCTCTCTCTCTGCCCCTCCCCCGTTCATGCTCTGTCTCTCTCTGTCCCAAAAATAAATAAAAAACGTTGAAAAAAAAAATTTTTAAAATAAAAAATGTTTATGTATTTATTTTTGAGAGAGTTGGGGAGGAGCAGAGAGAGAAGGAGACAGAATCCCAAGCAGGTTCCACTCTGCCAGCGTAGGGCCTGAACACACCACAAACTGTGAGATTATGACCTAAGCTGAAATCAAGAATCAGACACTTAACTGACTGAGCCACCTAGGCGCCCCTGGTGGAGTCTTTTTAAAGGAAGATTTATAAGTACCTGAGTACCATTTATTCTGTTCAAAATGAGAGTGATTATGGATTCTGCATTTACCGATGTTTTGAAGTGCAGTCATAATACTTACCTGTTGGTTTTCAGAGCATCTGTGTGAAGAAATAATTTTGTAGTTTGCTTGAAAATTAATCAGTTTTATTCCCCCCTAATCTGTTAATTTTTGAAAGCACAGTCTAACTTATAACCCGTTTTGTAGATTAAACTTGCCAACAGAAGTAAAAATCAGTGGACTCCAGGAGATTGGGTGTTACATCTGTATGATAATAAATTTTGCAATAGGCTATTATACCACTATACTGTATACCTTCTAAAATACCCCAAAATATTTTTAAACGATGAAATAAAAAGAAAATCTCTAAAAATGCACTTTGCCAACAGTCAAACCTTTTTTGGTCACACTAAAAACAATAATGTAATTGAATATGCTTTGTTTTTTTTGGGAGGTTCATAGATGTGATTGTAAACTTCATTTAGGCAGCATTTTTAAAGGTTGAAAAGGATACCTCACTAAGATAAGATTTTTTAATCTCCCCTACCAGGAATGTAGAAATTCTTGTTCAAGTCAGCTTACAGATATCAACTGATTCCTTAAAACAGGAAATGTGTTGGGGCGCCTGGGCAGCTCAGTCGGTTAAGCGTCTGACTTCGGTTCAGGTCATAATCTCACAGTTCATGAGTTCAAGCCCTGCATCAGGCTGTCTGCTGTCAATACAGAGCCTGATTTGGATCCTCTATCTCCCTCTCTCTGCCCCTCCCCTGCTTGCTCTCCCTCTCTCTCTGTCAAAAAAGTAAATATTTTTAAAAAGTAGGAAATGTGCTAAATTTTTTATTTTAAATAAGTTCAAACCCCACTGAAACTCTTAATTTTGAATTTTTTTTAAATATTTATTTATTTTGAGAGAGAAAGAACATGACCTGGGGAGAGGCAGAGAGAGAGAGAAAGAAGGAGAGAGAAAATCCCAAGCAGGCTCCACATTGTCAGGCAGAGCCCAACATTGGGCTTGATCTCACCAACTGTGAGATCATGACCTGAGCTGAAATCAAGAGTTGGGACACTTAACCCACTGAGCCACCAGGTGCCCCTTAATTTTGAAAAAAAAGAAAAGGCTGGTGAAACCCCATTGTTTTCTGGGTCTTCTGTGACCAAACTTTATAAATGACATCATTTCTAATTCAAAATCACTTAATAATGGAAATGTTTCAAAGTGCTGTCCACAATGATTTTTTTTAAACCATGATTTCATTCCCTTCCACCCATAAGCATGATCTTTATGTTAAAAGGACTGATTTAAGGGTGTTTCTTTTAATGCCAGCTCTTTAGAAAATAACCACTGCCAGCATCTGTGCTTATGCAACCCAGATGCACAGTTGCTGTTTACAAGATTAGAATGCCATGTTTATGGTTAAAGGACCTAATTTTATTAGGACGTTTTAAAAATGTGACATTTTCTACTACTAACATACTTTGAGGCTTGTGAAATGAAAGGATTCACCCTTCATTCTTTGAAGTTTTGACTTACATACTTTATGCCTGGATTTCTTTACTTTTAGATGAGGACGGCAACAACCAGTGGCCCGAAGGTTTGAAGTTCCTTTTTGATTCAGTCAGCTCTCAAAATATGGGTCTGCGGGAAGCTGCCCTTCACATTTTCTGGTATATACATTGATCTTATTTTCCTGAAAAACTTAAGTGTCATGAATGTACAAAGCACATTTTAATGGATGTTTTAGTCTGACTTTTTAGACTTAAATAATGCCTTTAGATGAGCTATTTGTGTTGGAAATAAATTGAAAAAACACAAAGCTTTTAATTTCATATTATATTCCTTTTTGTGCACAGCGGTTGTCTGCAATTTATTTTCTATTCTTTGGCTTTTATGATTCCAAACAAGATGGTTTCTTTTCCCTTTTTTGGAGATCGACACAGTATTAAATATATCTTTTAGAAAGCTACTTTAATGATGAAATCTTGAAGAAGAAAGAAAAGGCTGGTGAACCCCCATTGTTTTCTGGGTCTTCTATGACCAAACTTCATAAAAATACATTATTTTAATAAAGTCCTATATATTTACAAGCAAATGGTCTCAGTTTAGAATTAAAAGATGATTTGCACTAAGAAAACTTTGGTGTTATTATACAGTTCTACATTAAAAATATAGTTGGATTTATAACGTTTCAAGATTATATACTTGTTAAGAAATGAGATACACCTTGAATATCAGAAGCGGATAAGGGTAGACATTATACCATCTTCTACTTAATTTGTCAAATGGATCTCATTTGTATCGGTAACCCGGAGTAGAGAATTAATTGCAAGTATTGAATATACTTGTTAGCTACATTTAAAGTAGAGCAGAATCGGGACTCCCTGGGTCACTGACTGAGCCCAGGCACAGATTGTCAGGTAGCTCTGTGACTGCAGCTACCGTCTGCAGCCTCGTGTTTGCTTTTGTCCTGCACTCCAGGTCAGCTTCCTACAGGGACAAGAGTGATAGATAAGGATCAAGTACAGGGCTGGATGGGCTGCTGAGTAGTGTGTGCGCACCTGGGTCACCTCTGCATCCAGCATAATCCTCTCTGCTAATGTTTGTTGCCATTTGCCCAACCCCCAAAGAGGATTACTTGGAAGATGGATGGATGGTGTTCAGCCATCAGGGTTAATGCACACTTAAGTCAGGCTGATGTTTAAGGTTAGATTAGAACATGAGATGTTCTAGCTGACACCTTACTGAAATATGTCATTTTGAAAGAGTACTTTGGATCTTTTTTAGGAACTTTCCTGGAATTTTTGGGAACCAACAGCAGCACTATTTAGACGTTATCAAACGGATGTTAGTTCAGTGTATGCAAGATCAGGAACATCCATCGGTAAATAATTTCAATTCCACTAGTATTAACACCTAATTTAATATAACATTTAACTTGTGAACGGGATTTATGTATTTGGAGATTATCTTTAGTTTTAATACTGCAAAATAGAAGTACTGGTTTTACTGATGAAAAATTTCATCTTGAGTAAGAAATCTTGACCTTGCATCCATCAGTCATTTCTCATGCTTGACGTTTTTTACTGTTTTCGTATTAGATCAGGACATTATCTGCTAGAGCTACAGCTGCATTTATACTTGCAAATGAGCATAATGTTGCTCTATTCAAACATTTTGCAGACTTGTTACCCGGATTCTTACAGGTAAGAAAACGATATGAAATAAGTGAAAATTATGTCCTTTTTTGGTTTTCTGTGGTTTCAAATTCTTACCAGAATTCTCAAATGCTTTCATTTATTCAATCAAGTCATTGGCTACTGTGTGCTAGCACTAGGCACTAGAGGGGATCTCTGTCCCCATTGAACTAGATCTCTTGCCTTTCGTAGACTCTTAATCTCTTAAAATACCTAGGTTAGGGTTTCTAAAGTTTTCTATGATGCATGATACAAGTAATTTGTTAAGTAATCACATAGGTTATTGCCACTGAATCAACCAAAAAAACCTATGAAATTTAATGCCTATTTTACATAAGGAGAAACTAAAGAGGGGAGGATAAGAAACTTGCCCAAGGTCACAGTGTCAGTAAGTGATGGAACCATGATTTAAACCCAAATCAGACCGAAGTCCTTACTCTTAACCCCAGGGCTTAAGATAGTTTGTACTATAAATAGTTTGTGGTTAATTGTCCTAAGGGTGTTATTATTTTAGGGATACCATCTGCCTCAATCAGAGCATAAAATATGATTGGGTAAGTTAGAATAATTATTGTCAACCTTGTTAGACCCAGATTTTCTAACTTTGCATATTCCACTTTGAAATATTGAAATGCACAGGTAATGTACATATGTATATGCACAAAGTTTAAAAATAAAATTATATTGCCCTAAGTTAAAATACAAAGAAGAAATAAGAAGAAAGTAATATGCAATAAAATGGCATGCTTTTCGATATATAAATGGTAGGGCATGACTACAATGAAAGACATAGTAAACTAGGTGTTTTTTATTTTATTTATTTATTTGTTTAGAGCATGTGCGCTTGGGGAAGAGGGGCAGCAGGGGAGCAGGGTGAGAATCTCAAGCAGGTTCCACACTCAGCATAGAACCCAGTGCAGGGCTTGATCCCACCACCCTGGGATAATGACCTGAGCCTAAATCAAGAGTTGGATGCTGAACCGACTGAGTCTCCCAGGCATCCCCAGACTAGGTGATTCTTAAGTGATCTATACAAACTCAGTAGCTAAACATGTGGACTGATAGATATCATTGGCAAGGCCAACACCACAAATGCTGTTATTATTGATGATTTGATTTCCAGAAATGGTAAAGTTCTGGACAAAACTATGTATTTATTCTAGATTTATACAATGTTTACTTTTGGGGGTGGGGGGAATCATGGTACATTAAAACCGGACAAAATCTAATTGTGACTTAGGTTTTAGGTTCAGATCATTATAAATGAGTTTTTCATTTTTAGAAGTATCTGACATTATCATGTGAGATGCATGGTAAGAAGGTCCTGTGAGTTCCTCGTAAGTATTTGTGTCACAGATGCAGACGTCTAGCAACCCTGGTTTTGGCCCTTCCTGAGTCATTGTGACAACCAAGAAAACTCCTGGGAGAAATAGTGTACTGTTGAAAACCACCAGGTTAGAGAGGATTCAGAAGAGCTAAAATTGAAAAATCCTGGGTGAATTGTACATGATTCAGAGTAATTTTGTAGGATTTAGTAGAAACTTTTCTCTCAGTGCTATCAAATTGAAAAGATAGGTCAATGACAAAAAACATTAACTTTTCCATTCTATCGTTTCAGTCGTTTATTACCTAAAAATTTTGAGTTACTCATTGTTGAAGTCTAATCTCAGATTTTTCTTCCCTTGAATTTAGAGTAAGTTAAAATGTTAGCCAAAACTTCTAGGAGTTGTCACTCTTAAATAGTCAGTGGTTGATACAGAATGTATATTTAAATACCACAGTGAGCTAACTCGATGTCATAGAGAAATAAGTTGAGTAATATTGGACACTTGAAATGTATCCTAGGGCCTAGTATTTATTGTATGTCTGAAAAAGACTAGGATGTGGATGTTGGAAGGACAGAGGAAAGGGATTCCTTCTAGTTATGAAAAGAATTCTTTGACAGCCTCAAGTTTGTTGTGCTGGATGCTATAATTCTGAACTAGATTTAAATCTTTGTATGTTTCTAGTTGACAGTCAAAAGGAAGGTGTACATGTGACTGTAGGTAAAATTTCATCATATAGATTGCTAAGTTATTATTTAGTGAAAAATACTCTCTGATAATGCCACTTTGTTGTCTGCCTTTTACTGTTTTGGCAGTGAGGCATCTATAAAGTGACTCTTGAACCCAGACCTTTTTTCCTTTTCTATTTTATTTTTTCCAGGCTGTGAATGACTCATGCTACCAGAATGACGATTCTGTCTTAAAGTCCCTTGTTGAGATTGCAGATACCGTTCCAAAGTATTTGCGTCCTCATTTAGAAGCTACTTTACAGCTAAGTCTAAAGGTAAATTAAATACTTCAGTAAATGTTCTGTTTATTATTTTCAATGAATAAACTACGAAATGTGTACAAATACATCTTCTTTGTAGTTGTGTGGAGACACCAGCCTCAATAATATGCAACGCCAGCTCGCCCTTGAAGTAATCGTGACCCTATCTGAGACTGCAGCTGCTATGTTAAGAAAACATACCAATATTGTTGCACAGACTAGTAAGTCAAAGATCTTTAAATAATTTGTGTTCATGTGGAAAAACTCTTCAGTGAATTTGCTGAGAATTGTGTAAGCTCATAGATTTGTTGAGAATATGATGTCCTTTCAAAACAGATGAATCTGGAGACATACATCCCTATACATATTTATGTGGCTATGCTGCACACATCTTGAAATCCCATAATAGGCAAGACATGTGATACCTGGAAACAAATCCAAAGACACAGAAGACCTTTATGGGGAAATTAGATAACATGTTGAAAGACTAGACTAATAGAGGAGCTAAATACCAGTTCTTCTGAAATTAATCTATAAATTAATACAATTTCAGTCAGAATCCCAATAGAGTTGGACATGATAAGATTGATCCTAAAATTCATGTAGAATAACACAGGGCCTGAAGTAGCCAAGACCATTTTGATGAGCATAGTGGAGATCTTGCCCTCTCAACTATGAAGATTTAGAATTTGTTCGTGGCACAGGTGTAGACAAGTGAATCATCTGAAACAAAAAGACCTATAAGCAGATCCACTCACATGGAAACAAAGCTGACTTGAAAAGATAGATAATTGGGGGGAAAAAAAAAAAAGATAATTGATCAAAGGTCATTTCTGTGGCAAAAATATATCCCAACCTCAGATATCCTATAAACACTAATTTGGGGTGGATTAGACACCTAAATAATAGTTCATTTTTACAAGTAAATCTTGATGATTGAAAAAGATTTTTTTAAGACTGAATCACAAACCACAGATGCAAATATTGCTAAATTTGCAAATACTAAAATAATTTTTTGACCAAATACTCCGTAAGTAAAATTAAAAGATAAGCTGCAGGCTGGGGAAAAGTAGCTGCAGTGGACAGAGTCAACAAAGTTTAAGTACCTAGAAAATAGATGAAAGGTAGGGAACTGGAAATTCACAGAGGAGGAATCTGAACTAGCTAATGAGTGCTGGTCAGTCTCAAATACCAGAGTAGTTGTGGAGTCCCAAGTTGTCAGAAAGTTTGACAATACTGAGTGTTGATGAAAGGTGTTGAGCAGGCAGGACTCATACAGCTTCAGGGCACTTCACACGTTGTTGTGAAATAAGACAGTTATCCTTTTAAACTTCCTCTAGGAATGCAAATTTATGCAACCACTATGCAGAGCAGTTAGTCTTTCTTATAATATTGAAGATAACCTGTAACAGTTTCATGCCCTGAACTCACACATTTCAAGGATATGTGTATAGAAAACTCATCAAAGGAAATTTTTTAATAGGAAGAAAATTGGAAACAACCAGAATGTCCATAGATGGAATAGTGTGTTTACGTAGTGGAATACTGTGAAGTAATTAAAATAAAATCCATATGTGTTGAAAAGAAAGCAAATTGCCAAAGGTTACATGTAGTATGGTACCATTTATTGTGTAAAAACTAAAATCTTGAAATGGTGCTGTTTTTTGTATATAGGGAAATCTGTAGTTCAAGTGTAAAAACAGTTTGGGAATGAGAAGCGTCGGTTTTATTCATTGCTCACCTCTGGTGAGTAAAAGAGAGTGTGATAGGAACTAGGAAGTTTGACTTTTATCCTTAGTGGCACTTCTTAAAAAGAACAAGGTCTAAAGCAAATGTGGCAAAAAGGTTAAAATATAGCAAATTTTGGGGGTCACAGGCAAATAATTGTTCTGTCTCTTAGAGGCAAAGTAAATCCTTCATTTTTTACTTCTTAAAATTCTTGTTCATAAATGGTGATACTGATAAAATAAAAAAGCTAGTCTTCAGGTGTGAAGTGATGATTTACTTTAGTTCCTCAGATGTTAGCAATGATGGTTGATCTTGAAGAGGACGAGGACTGGGCGAATGCAGATGAGCTAGAAGATGATGACTTTGACAGGTAATCACATGCGCCAGAGACTGTGTGGAGGCTCCTCGACAGAACAGAGAGAGCTCCGGTAGTGACAAGAGTTTGGGGTTCCAGGGTCCATGTCTTCCCACTGTATTCTGTAATCTAAAGTTAAACTTGTCAGTTTGGAACATGGGACACTGAGGCTTTCTGTGTCAAATTTTATAAATTATATTTTATTTACTTTTAATTAAGTAGCCATCTTTCCTCCCCATTTTACTCTGAATTTTCTTCAAGATTTTTTTTTAGTGTAAGAGTATCTTAAAGTCTGTATAAAGAAGCTTTATTGTGAAAAATGCCTTTATATGCATAGACCTCACTTAGAATAGTTGTTTCCACACTGTTCCCTGCAAAATGACGTTTTCCCAATTTCATTCAATTTAACCATAGGCTAGAGACGAGATAGTGGCAAGATTTGCACACTAGATTACTGTGACACTGGAGCTACTGTTTTGTTTAGACTTCAGAGATTCCTCTGGAATTCCTGGAAAAGTCCACCAGAATCTATTTATTCACTGTCCAGTGGTGATGATGGCCTCTTCTTACACGCATGTGAGAAGTAGCACTTTAGAACTCTGTTATTTTAACTGATTCTTTCAGTGTTCCTACAGATACATTCTCAGGTAGAGTCAGAAATGGAGAGGGCATTTGAGTGATTTGTCCAGGGTTTGTATAGCCCATCTGTAGACGAAGGTTTAATGCCAGTGTGTCATATTCTCTTTCTCAAAGAGCTGAAAGTATTGCCCTGAAAGACTGGTAGTTGGTATAAGCTACTATAACAGGAATTAGGTAAAATGAAAGACATTTGACTTACAGAATGTACAGTGCATCTCGCGGCTTAGTCCCATGATTAAAAATGACTACTCTGGCTTAAATGCCGTTTTGAAGTATGTGAAAATAATCCTTCACTGGAAATTACCTCATAGGACTAAAGAGAAGACCAGGCTCAGATTGGGTTTCCTTTCCCTGGTTCAGTTACTGTAATGTGCTGCTGCTCCCTGGCCTTTAGTTTGCCCTGTAAAAGGCGCTTACAATTATATGGCTTATGAAGCTACTTTTTCTGGGCTAGATGAGTAAGATTTTCTTATCTGTGGGTAAATAGGCCAGGAATATATTCAAGGTGAGTTTAGATATATTCTAAAAATCATTTATAGTTTCATCTTTATAGTCTCCTCTTCACTGGACAGTTGGAGATGATCCCATGACAAACTCACTACCAATCTTAGAGTTCAAAGCCAGTGCAAAAGGCTCTTATACCCAAGTTTCTTCCATTTTCAGTGAAAACACTGGAATTGAGTCTCACCGGTGCATAAATGTTAGCTATGCAGCTAGTACTCCTTTAAAAGTAGGTAAGTTCACTGCAGAGAAGGCATCCCTGAGTCTGAGCACCGCTTTCAGTGTTCTGTGTTCTGTTGATGGAGTTTGAAGGATGTATGTCTGGGAAATGAGGTAACAGGCTCTCTTGAACACGCTGCTCATACCTTTGAGTCTTGAAAGCACCAAAGCTGAGTGTTAGCCAGTGAGGGGTGTGTGCAGAAAGAGCAAAGTCTTGAAAGTTAAGATTGAGACAGGACTTTTTACATCATGGCGAATGAATCATGAAAATGTTATGTGTTCTACTTTTCTTGAGGATTTTGAACCCACAACTTCATGCATTTGAAAGACTGCTTAAATTGGTCTTTCTCAGCCTTAGTTTCATAGCATATTTAGAAATACATGTGCACAGTGCACTGTTCTTCTGTGTGTTGAACATGTTGGCTACGTTCTGGTTTGTGTGCAGCAATGCGGTTGCTGGTGAGAGCGCTCTGGACCGAATGGCCTGTGGACTTGGTGGGAAGCTGGTGCTGCCGATGATCAAGGAACACATTATGCAGATGCTCCAAAATCGTAAGCTGTGTCTCCCTCGGATGCTAGCATAGTGCATGTGGCTTTCTAAGTCTCAAACTGACAAATGCTTAGACTTCATCTTTCTTTGCCTTTTTATATCCAATGTTTAGCCTTATTTTTGCGTTATACTGATAAAATTCTATTTAGTCCTCTTTGGAACCATCCAATCTTATGCTAAAGAATGTTTTTTCTCGCGACTGCAGATACTCCATTTCGTCTGTAGAACTGGCTTCAATGCACAGGAAATAATTACAATACCAAGGAAAACCTATAGATTTTCTCCCTAGCCAGAAGTATCTAGGTTTTAATTTAAATAAGACATCGTCATTTGATGTTTACAAATATTAGCACATTTGATTCATATGATCTTCCTTAGCCACTGTCTTTTATTTTTAAAAATATATAATCAGGGGGCGCGTAGGTGGCCCAGTTGGTTAAGTGCCCCAACTTTGGCTCAGGTTATTATCTCACGGTCTGTGAGCTCAAGCCCCACATTCGCCTCTGTGCTGACAGCTCAGAGCCTGGAGCCTGCTTCCGATTCTGTCTCTCCCTCTCTCTCTGCCCCTCCCCTGCTTGCACTCTGTCTCTCTTTGTCTCAAAAAATAAAGAAACATTAAAAAATACATGTATAATATATATATAATCAGAAGAGAAGCCACTTCTGGGGCCCCTGGGTGGCTCATTCGGTTGGGCATCCGACTCCGTTTTGGCTCCATGATCTCATGGTTTCGTGGGTTCAAGCCCTGCATCAGGCTCTGTGCTGGTGGTGTGGAGCCTACTTGGGATTCTCTCTTTCCCCCTCTCTCTGCTCCTCCCCCACTCATGCTACCTCTGTCTCTCCCAAAAATAAATAAACTTTGAATAAAAAAAGAGAAGCCACTTCTATTTCTTTTATTGTTTTCATAACAAATATCTGGTCATTTGTCAGTCAGCCTCTGTACCTGTAATTTATATCTATATCAAAAATTGTTGGGGCGCCTGGGTGGCACAGTCGGTTAAGCGTCCGACTTCAGCCAGGTCACGATCTCACGGTCCATTGAGTTCGAACTGACGATCGAACTCTCAGGCTGATAGCTCCGAACCTGGAGCCTGTTTCCGATTCTGTCTCCTCTCTCTCTGCCCCTCCCCCGTTCATGCTCTGTCTCTCTCTGTCCCAAAAATAAATAAACGTTGAAAAAAAAAAAAAATTTAAAAAAAAATAATAATAAATTGTTGTATACATGTTATATTTTTATGTTTTTTTAAGATTTTATTTTTAAGTAATCTCTATACCCAGTGTGGGGCTTAAACTCAACAACCCTGAGATCAAAAGTTGCACATTCCACCAACTGAGCGAGCCAGGCACCCTATGCTTGACTTTTTTTAAAAATTCAGAAACAGAGATATATAGACTAAAAGTCTCTTAACTTATTAGATTTTGAGGTGGCCACTGTTAATTGTTTTCTGAGACTTTTCTTTGGCCTCCATCATGCATATATGCAGTTTTTAAAACAATGTGAACATACCATATAGATACACCATACTTAAGCTTTTACCCCAGGGTATATCATATCACCACAGAATAGCCCCCTCATAGCATTCTGTAATACCCCATTAAATGTTAATAGTTTTTGTTAATACAAATAATGCTAATGCATATACTCTTCCACAGATATCCTGACTTACTTGTATGGATAGTCCTATCTATAGGGTACATGGCAAGAGACACACTTGAGGGTCAGACAGTTGATTCAAGGTCTTAAAGTAGTAAAGCAGGGTAATAACATAATACCAGCTTCAAATGAAAGGAACTGTTGAGAACTGTAGCCCTTTATACAATTTACTTAATTCTTATAAAATTCTTCTGAAAAGGCATGGCCCAAAACAATTAACTCTTTTTGATGATGTGATTGTATACATAGGTCTTGAATAGTTGTTTCCCCCCTCTTTTTTAACTGTTTATTTTGAGAGAACATGAGCAGGGGAGGGGCGGAGAGGGGGAGAGAGAATCCCAAGGAGGCTCTGCTCTGACAGTACGCAGCCCATTGGGGGACTTGATCCCACAAACGATGAGATCATGGACCTGAGCCAAAGTCCAGAGTCAGACGCTTAACCGAGTCAGCCACCCAGGCAGGCGCCCCAGTTTTCCTTTTTTTAGCTCCTCAATTTTTTGAGGGTTTTTTTTTTCCCCAAAGGAATAGAGACAGCTTCACAGATTGCTTAAGAGAAAGAATCTAGCTTTTCCATTTTTAAGATGAAGAAGGTAGCCTACAGACATAAAAGATTGTAGTCACTGTTTCACTATTGGTTGATGGTGATCTTCAGATAGATCAGTTGTGGATGTGGTTGTGATTTGTAATTAAAGAATTTGGCTTTTCAGTTTTTCTTGCTACACCTACCAGCTGGATGCAAGAGGCTTTATTATATATGGCAATGAACTCTTAGTAAAGATCTGTTATTGTTAATTGTATGGCTTTGAGCAAATTTTCTGCACCTTAATCTCCTTGTTTGTAAAAGAGGCAAAAATTATGCTTGCTTTATGCCCAGGCTTGAGATTAGATCCAAAGATGTATCTAATGTGTGTGAAAAGTGCTTTAAACAGTGGCCAACGATATGTATCTCCTAGTAACTTAACACTTTATTTTTAAAGATAGTTTTACTGGTTTTGCTTTAAATAATAAACAGCAAAATTTAAAGGAGAAAAACCACTTCTAAATCCCCATAGCATACCGTCACATTCTGCCGAACATACTTTCAGGAACTCTGCCTATTAGAGATATACAGACATATCTTTTTATTTTTATTTCTCTGATCCAAATAAGGACACCTTTCTGTATCAGTAAGTATTTATTGCATCTCTTCTTTAAATTAGTAAATCCAGGGCGTCTGGGTGGCTCAGTTGGTTAAGCGTCCGAGTTTAGCTCGGGTCACAGTCTTCGTGGTTCGTGGGTTCGAGCCCCACGACAGGCTCTATTCTGACAGCTCAGAGCCTGGAACCCATTTCAGATTCAGTGTCTCCCTTCCTCTCTCCCTCTCCCTCTCTCTCTCTCTCTCTCTCTCTCTCTCTCTTCTCTCCTCTCCTCTCCACTCTCCTCCTCCTCCCTCCACTCCTCCTCCTCCTCTCTCTCATTAGCTATAGTGTGTCTCTCTCTCCCCCCAAAATAAACATTAAAAAAAAAAAAACTTAGTAAATCCAATATGCAAAGGTTAGCATCTGATTTACTGATTTCCTAGGATGATTATTCCTTAGTTGAAAAATGTTGGCTTATTGGTATATTAAGTAATTGAAATGCATTAAAAATATTTAATGTTAATAATAAAGTTTTAATACTTAACAGCAGAATTAGGAAACTTTCAGAAATTCTTTATGTTAGAGGGGTGCCTGGGTGGGTCAGTCTGTTAAGCATCAACTCTTGGTTTCAGCTCAGGTCATGATCTCAAGGTTGTGGTCATTAGATTGAGCCCCATGTTGGGCTTTGCACTGAGCATGCAGCTGTTTAAGATTCTCTCTCCCTCTCTCTCTGTCTCCTGCTCATGCAGGGTGTGCCAGGAGTGCAGGTACCCTCTCAAAAAAATTCTTTATAGTAGTATGTTACAACGGAGTTCATCTTGGGCTCCCCAAAGTGAAAAATTATTAATTCTGATATAATTTTATGCTTCTCTACAACCTTTGTTAACTCTTATGCCAGTGGTTCACAAACTTTGTTTTTAAGATCCCTTTACACTCTTAAAAAATTAAAAAAAAAAATTTTTTTTTTAATGTTAGAGACAGAGAGCCAGCATGAGAGGGGCAGAGAGAGAGAGGAAGACACAGAATCTGAAGCTGGCTCCAGGCTCTGAGCTGTCAGCACAGAGCCTGACACAGGGCTCGAACTCATGGACTGTGAGATCATGACCCCAGCCGAAGTCGGATGCTTATCCGACTGAGCCACCCAGGCGCCCCTACACTCTTAAAAATCAACTGAAGATCCTAGAATGCTTTTGTTTATGGGTTATATCAGTGTTTGTATTATTAAAGATGAAAAACATTTAAAATGTTCACTTAAAGATAGCAATAATAAACCCATTACACATGAACAGAAATAACATTTTTCGTGAAGAATGACTTCAAAACAAAAATATGTTAGCGAGAAGAATGTCGTCTTATGCAGTTTTGTAAATATCTTTAAGTGTCTTAGCTGAGTTCTTGTTTCTGCTTCTTCATTCAGTGTCAGTGGATCATAATGTGTTGTAATCCCTGGAATACTCCACTGGACCCTCAGAGTGAGAGTGAAAGAGTATTATCAGGACAGTAATCCCAGGGTTCTTGGGCCTCACCTTGAGAGCCACTGCTTTACACAGATATTAGCTTTCTGTGTTTACGTATGTCTTGCTTTGTTCCACAAGTTGTGTGAAACCGCTTAAAGGGAACGATAATGTAATGAGCATAAACATTTCGAAATGAGAGGGAAATTATATATTAGAATATGATATGAAGATCAGTATAATAAATACTGCTTAGCTAATATTCTAGTATAAAACCAAGTAGCCATTAGCAATATTAGAATATATGTAATGTTCATGTATATTCATTTACCATGTTGTTACATAAAAATTCTTTAAAAGCAGTATCTTCTCCGTGGCTTTTGTTCTTTTTAAAGAAATATAAATTTCCGTGGTTGGACAATAGTGAATCTCTGTGTTCAATAAATAGCAGTGTGTGGCACAAAATCCAGGTATTTGTTGCTAATGGTAAATCTTAGGGGGAAAAGGCTTATTTTCAGTAGTTGTTATAAATACTAATAAACTCTTTTCTCTCATATTGCCTTTGCACTACTTTTGGAATAGAAATGCTCGTCTGACATAACCATTACCATAGTGAAATAGTCCAGTCGGGCACTTTTTTCTGTCCATTTTTCTAATTAATGTATAAAAATATTTTGGTGGTCTTTTCTAAATAAGGAGAGCTTTTTTTATGCTTCTGACTACCAGAATGACATGTTTGTACTCGCTAACTGTTCTTTCACCTGTAATTCTTTTTTGTAGCTGACTGGAAATACCGTCATGCAGGATTAATGGCCTTATCTGCCATTGGTGAAGGATGCCACCAGCAAATGGAAGGAATTTTAAATGAGATAGTAAATTTTGTTTTGCTTTTTCTTCAGGATCCTGTAAGTACCAGTAAATACCTGATTCATACTTATTACCATAGTTCCCATGTGGGAACCCCTTACCTTTACTTACACAAAGTCCCCTATTGCAGCATCCAAGAGTAAGGTACGCAGCCTGTAATGCCGTGGGACAGATGGCTACAGATTTTGCACCTGGCTTCCAAAAGAAATTTCATGAGAAGGTAAGTAACAATGCCTCAAACACTCAAACAGAGGAGGTGTGCTTGGAAATGTGGTGTTTCAAAATGTGTGTTTATCTGATTCCGTTTTCCAGGTGATTGCGGCCCTGCTGCAGACCATGGAGGACCAGGGCAATCAGCGAGTGCAGGCCCATGCTGCTGCCGCTCTGATCAACTTCACTGAGGACTGTCCCAAGTCACTGCTTATTCCATATTTAGACAATTTGGTGAAACATCTACATTCCATCATGGTACTTAAACTTCAAGAGGTAGGTTTTCAAGGTCTTTAAGCTCCTATTTAGAGATTAATGTAGGTTATTTTAGTGGGTAAGACCTGGAGAAAGACCAGGTTCAGCCTGGCCATAAAGAATAGAAAGTCAGGTTAGGCTGTTTGAAGTAGAATAATTCAGTCTTGACCAGAGAATAGGCCAACATTGGAATTGGGAAAGAAGTTATAGCCTAAACGTTAGGTAAAATCAGTATGTGAATTGCCTTGAAAACAAGGCAGTTATTTTGAATTCTGATTTGTGTAAATTTGGAAGAACGATTTTGTTCTTAACTGCTGCAGGAAATCCTGATAATGTGATTGTAAGAAATTAGCTGTGTAGGCATTGTGAGGCGTAAACAAAACGGGAAAAAATTTAAGACTGTCAAGATTATTGTTCACAGAGCTTGGGTGGTAATAGTGGAAATTAGTGGGGAAAGATGATTCTAAAAGTCATTTTTCGGGAAGCAGTAACAGTTTCTACCAGTTTGAATTTTAAAAGATGATAGAGAGGGGGTGCCTGGGTGGCTCAGTCGGTTAAGTGTCTGATTCTTCGTATTGGCTCAGGTCATGATCTCATGGTTTGTGGGTTTGAGTCCCACTTTGGGCTCTGTGCTGACAGTGCTGAGCCTGCTTAGGATTCTCGATCTCCTTCTGCCCCTCCCCTGCTTGTTCTCTCCCCTCCCCAACCACCCCCCCACCCCCCGTCAAAAATAAATAAACTTAAAAAAAAAAAAAAGACGAAAGATAAGTAAAAAAAGTTGACCGTTCTTCTCACCTGGATGACAGAAGTAGACAGATGAGAAAGAATATCATTTTTACGTTAAATAAGTTGAATTTTAAAATCAGGCCTGGCTGTCCAAATAGAAGAAGGTTTGCAGTGATAGCTTAAATAAGAAATAGAACCTAAGAGACTCAGTGGTGTTAGTACAGCAGTGTGTGAGGAGAGGATGCAAGCGAGAAAGGCAAAGATTCAGGCTCAGTTTGTCATGAAATGAATAAAAAGGACAAATAAAAGCCTCTTAAGAAAACTCCTGTGTTTACCAGACACAAAGTTACTGTCAAATTGCTATAAAAGTAAAGTTTCTAACGTTACTAACTCAATTCTCATATATCAATTCGTTATGAACCAGGAAGAATTAGTAAACCACACTTCACGTAGTCATTTTCTAAAGGAGAACGGGGTGGAGACGAGATACAGTGTCTCCGAAGGCGAAGAAAGCGGCTTTTGAAATATGACAGGTGTTCAGTGTCCGGTGACGGCAGACCAGGAAGGAACAGGAGTGAATCTGAAGACGGGTAGACCCCAGTTGAAGGCAGATGAGTTTGTTGGTTAAATCAGGAACGGAAGGATCAAACGTGACTTTACAAGTGTGTTTGGGTAGAGGGCTGAAGTGTAAATAGAGTTTCAATTGCATCCCCTTACTCCAAAGAGGCAACAGGTCAGATTTTTTAAAGACTAAAAGAAGGAATTGTTAAGACGGCCTGGGGAAGAAGTTAAAGTATGTGAGCAAAAGTTGTGCAAAGAGAAGGTAGCTGATGAGGAACAACGTTCCTCGGAGATCAGAAGCAGTCAAGACCTGAAACGTGGAGCAGATGCAGAAGAAGGGAGTAAGTTACCCTCTTACAGGGCAGTGGAAGTGGTCATGCAGGGGGAAGAACTCTGCTCAGAGTGGCTGGAGTTGATTGGGGGGAAATGAAATCTGGAATAGTCCCTGGGTCAGGTACTCCTGTGAATCCTCAAGGGTTAGAAAATGTTACCAGGTGACAGCATGAGCCCCGCTGCAAGTACCCAGTATTTGTTACTAGCCAGGTCAGAGAACCTGTAGGTCTTGAATGCAGGAGAAAGGGGAGCTCATGTGTTTCACCAAGACAGTGAAATAGTTGGCTAAAAAGCTCTGGCTCTGATGGGGTCATTAGTGCTACCTTCTGGGGAGAGTCACATGAGAAGATAAAGGAATGGACCATGAAGGGGATTCTCTCATGCATGGTAGGATGGCGCAGAGTGTACGGTAAGTAGTGGGAGTCAGTGAGGTAAAAGGACCGAGAAATACGGGTGTCAAGCTAGGATACAAAAATTGGAAAAGGAATCAGATTTGTGCTTGAGAATTGGTTGCTTGGAGTTAAGGCAGACCTGAGTAAGGAGCATTCCATTAACAGAAGAGAGAGGAGATCCCACATCAGTAGTTCCGCAGGGATTCTTTAATTTGCTCCGGAACCTACGGTCTCCACTCGGGCTGCTGGAGGGTGGTCTCCGCTGGCTGTCTCAGAGAAGCCTGTGAGAACTCGGAGCAGGTATTTCTTCCAGTTTCTCGTTTGCATGATTTATTTTGTGTGTCTTCCTTCTCCTAGTTGATTCAGAAAGGCACCAAGTTAGTTCTGGAACAAGTTGTGACATCTATCGCATCAGTTGCAGATACCGCAGAGGAAAAATTTGTCCCCTACTATGACTTATTTATGCCATCACTAAAGCACATCGTCGAGAACGCAGTTCAGAAGGAACTCCGACTTCTCAGAGGAAAAACTATTGAGTGCATCAGCCTCATTGGTCTAGCCGTTGGGAAGGAAAAAGTAAGTGATTTGTAGAAGGCTGAGTTTACTGTCTGTAGTTTGGCTGTGGAGGCATTGAGGGAGGTACTTAGAGGCCTTTTCCTTCTGCTAAATCGTTTTCCAGATGCTTGTTTTTTTCCATTATCTTACTCTCCTGTAATTCTAGCTTTATATAGAAATTCATTTTTTCAGCATTAATATTAAGGTTTTTTTCTTAATTCATTTATGCTCTTGAAATCTCCTCCTCTTCCTACCACACGTACAGTCTACTGGGAGGCGTGTGGAGTTCAAGATCCATATGTTTAGCTTCACTCATTTAAACACGTACTTGGTAACATTCCGTTTGCTTTCTTGTTAATCCAAAAACCATCAGGTGTCCTAAGAGAAATCTCTATACATATAGCTCTGCAGAAAATAATTAGCAAGGACCATTGGCAGATGTATTTGTCTTCCAGCCAGCATATCAGAGTGTCAAAGCTGATCCAAATGAAGTCCCCCCTGTCATTGACCTCTCGCACTCTAATTCTCAGAACTATCAACAGTAGAACCTCTCCAGTTGGTCTCCTCCAAAACCAGCACCAGTGTTAACTTTACCTTAGAAATTATTTTCTGTGAGATACTGAGAACCTAATCAATACAACATTTTCATGTTCCTACTCTGTCTGATTTTCAAACTGTCTCTGAAACACTGCCTGTTTATACAGTGGGGATTGGCAGAACTACACAGAGTTACCTGAAAATCCTATACTTCTAGGGAGCAATCCAAAGTTTTCTTTCTGGATTTGGATTATCTTTTTACTGCTGGAAATACATAAACTATAGACCAAAACTTGTGGTTTAGAAATTCCTTAAATTGTGGTTTATATACACAATGGAGTACTACATGGCAATGAAAAAGAACGAAATATGGCCCTTTGTAGCAACATGGATGGAACTGGAGAGTGTGATGCTAAGTGAAATAAGCCATACAGAGAAAGACAGATACCATATGTTTTCACTCTTAATGTGGATCCTGAGAAACTTAACAGAAACCCATGGAGGAGGGGAAGGGAAAAAAAAAAAAGAGGTTAGAGTGGGAGAGAGCCAAAGCATAAGAGACTCTTAAAAACTGAGAACAAACTGAGGGTTGATGGGGGGTGGGAGGGAGGGGAGGGTGGGTGATGGGTATATTGAGGAGGGCACCTTTTGGGATGAGCACTGGGTGTTGTATGGAAACCAATTTGACAATAAATTTCATATATTGGGAAAAAAAAAAAAAAGAAATTCCTTTATACTGCAGTTCACTCTGACCTTCACTGGAGAATCTATTTTTCTAGAAAGAGCACTAGGTGTGTGCAACATAGATGAAAATTTTTCAGTGTGATACTTTTGTCTAAGGGGTTATGACCCATGTGGGAAATGTAATGGATTTTCTTTTGGAAAGTTGTGTTATTATACAAGAACCAAAATTGGGTAGCGGTGAGCACCTCTCTGTTCTGATAGCCACGAGAAACACCGGTGTTGATTCTCCCAAATATTTTCTTCCAGTTCATGCAAGATGCATCAGATGTGATGCAGCTCTTGTTGAAGACCCAGACGGACTTTAGCGATATGGAAGATGATGATCCCCAGGTAAAGCAGCTTTCACATGTTCGCCTAGATGTACATCTAGTATAAAGTTAAATGTACTCAAAAAAAGAAATTGAGTGATAGTTTTCTTGAGATAATCCCTGGCTGCAGAGACGTTCTTCACTGGCTTTCCTTCTACTTCTCATGCCATCTTTTTCTCAGTCTGCTCTGGCTGCCCTCTCCCCTGACTCTGGCTTTTGGCTTTTGGTTTTTTGGGTATTTTTATGCTCTTAGGGTTCTGTCTTAGGCCCTCTTCCCTCCTTCCCTCCACACCATGGCTTCAGTTTTCCTCCATGTGCTGTAACTGCCAGATCTTTCTCTCAATTCAGGGTTCACTGATCCCCCCGCTTACTAGACATCTCCATTTGGACGTCTCTCAGCCCTGTCATTGCCACATGACTTCCCACAAACCTGCTCCGCTTTTTTCTTTCTGCCCATGAGCACACATTCATGTCACCCCAGCCCCATGCAGCCTGACAAATCCCAGCTCATATTTCAAGGCCAGTATAAGTCTTGATAGTGGATCCTTATGACACAGTGTTGTAAATTGTAAGTGTGTGTCATGGTCCTAATAGTATTCACAATGCCTAATGAATAACAGCGACTCCATAAATAATTGCTGGGTTACATTTGGACTTTACACGGCCATGCTATCATTATTTCCTATGAACTTAGATTGTTTTTTCTTTTGTGTGTGTGTGTGTGGTTTTTTTGTTTGTTTTAGAGTAGGTGTGGAGAATATGTGTGTATACGCACGTGAGATATATTAGTAAAAATCAACTCACTTTCTGGGTTACAGGGATGATGAATTAGAACTAGATCCTCTGTTGGTGGTTTGCAGGTGATTCAGACTATGTAAACACAGTAGTAGAAGAGGTGTCTTAAAAACACCCAGCCACTTACACAGAAAATTGAAACAGCTAGGAGAAAGGGATGTTTTCTCGGGTGTTAATACATGTTTAATGAATGGAATGCTAGGCAGTAAAGATACAGTCAGATAAAATATGTTCTTGTCTTCAAAAAACAGGGCCTAGGAGTTAAAATGGTTAAGTAGATTTTATATATGTGACTCAGATGCTATTAGAGAAAATTATATATTGCTTCTTGAAAGTAAGAAAAAAATAAGACACAGTCCTGGTCTTCCTCTTTTCCCTCACCTGCTCTCTCTATCCCAGGGTAAAGGTTCACAGTGATTTTATTTCTGAATGTTTTAAGTATATGACCCTAGGAAATGTACTTTCTGCTTGAAGGGCTATGAATGTGAAATAAAACATTGTTTGTATGAAATAGGGAAATGGCTTCTTTGTGATTGTCTATTTACCATTGTTTTGAAATCAATTTTAATTTTTTTCCCCAGATCTCTTACATGATCTCAGCATGGGCCAGAATGTGCAAAATTCTTGGAAAAGAATTTCAGCAGTACCTTCCAGTGGTTATGGGGCCTTTAATGAAGACCGCTTCAATTAAGCCTGAAGTAGCCCTTTTAGATAGTAGGTGTCTTCATGAAGACATAACAGTTGTAAAATTCCTCCCTGTGATTATTTTTAACGTGAATTTGTTTTCTTCCTTGTTAATAGCCCAAGACATGGAAAACATGAGTGATGATGATGGTTGGGAGTTTGTGAACCTTGGAGATCAGCAAAGTTTTGGTATTAAAACTGCAGGACTGGAAGAAAAGTCCACTGCTTGTCAGATGCTGGTGAGTGCGTATAGTGTTTATCAGACTTCAGTTAACGAGTTCTTAGAACACATTCATACACACATTTCAGAGGAGTGCCTCCCATAGATGTTAAAGAAATTATTTGAAGAGCAGGAATATATTCTTTAAAAAATAAAATGTAGAGACATTTTGACCCAACATTTCCACTTCTGGATAAAGAAATCACGTAGGTAAACTTCATGATCACTGCTGTTTCTAATAACAACAACAAAAATGAAAAGCCTGAATGCCTGTTATCAGGAAGATAATAATACCCAGCTGATACAAAGCTATGTTGGGGCAAGGATTTTTGTCTGTTCTGTGCTTAGTGTATAGTAGATAAGATGACCAAGGAATATTTTTTGAATGAATGAATGAACAGAAATGTGCTCATGCTACTGAAAATATAACTGGTATGATGTCAGTCATATAAAAAATATAAACATGGTAGGGACATCAAAATGTTGACAGTAATTACCTCTTGCAGTGTTAGGAGGTCTTGTGTGCAAGTTCTCTTTGAGGTTGTTGTTTTGTTTGGTTTTTTCCCTCCCCTTCCCCTTTATGAGCATGTGTTACAGACAGGGACAATAATCTATATTTTTCTTAAAGGTAGAATTAAGAAATTATGGTATATTACAAACTTAGCAGATGAGTAAGCCCAAATAAAAGTTAATAACTTAAATTTTATCTTGCATTAATAAAGCATTGTTGTACTTACCAGTTCATTTAAACTTATATTTCTTGAACTTATTTTTATCATCAGTACTTACTATATATTGTAAACATTTATGCCTATAATATAATTCATAGACATTTTGGATTTTTGTGGTATCTTTCAACTAGAGAGTAAATGTAAATGTAACATCTCTAAACAAAATTATCAAATCTTTTAATGTGGAAGAAAGTAAAGAAACTTTTTTTTTTTTTTTTAAGTTTGTTTAGTTTGAGAGAGAGCACGCGAGCAGGGGAAGAACAGAGAGAGAGAATCCCAAGCAGGCTCCATGCTGACAGCATGACACAGGGCTCCCTTAGTCCCATGAACCATGAGATGGTGACCTGAGCCAAAACCAAGAGTCAGCTACTTAACTGACTGAGCCACTCAAGCACCCCGAGAAACAATTATTATTTTTTTTTTTTTTTTGTTTTTGGATATATAACAAAAGATTTATTATTCTTATGTACATATATCTTAATACATAAATATTTTTAAAGTGAATGGGATGACGATGATGATGATGTTTTTTTTTTTATATATGAATTTATTACAATTGTTTGCATACAACGAAACACTTGGGTAAAAGGTGCTCCTCAGTACCATCACTCCACCCTCTCCTCCTCCTACCCCCATCAACTTTTAGTTTGTTCTCAGTTCTCGTAAGTAGTCTCTATGCGTTTTTAGTTCTCTAATTTAACTTTTAAAAAAAAAAAAAAATTTTGTTCCTCCCCCATGGGTTTTCTGAAAGTTTTCTTGATCCACATAAGAGGAAGAGAGTATCTGTCTTTTCTCTATTTACTTATCCATCACATACAATCACCCAGTTCCATCTAATGCTGCTACAAAAGGCCATATTACCATTTTTCATTGCCGTGAGTACTCCATTGTATATAAACTACAATTTCTTTGTCCATTCATCATTGATGATGACATTTAGTTCTTTTCCATAATTTGGCTATTGTTGAGAGTGCTATGAACATTAAAAGTAGTACAAGTGCCCCTTGCATCAGTAATTCTGTGTCCCTTTGATAAATTTATAGCAGTATAGTATTGCTGGGTCAGGGTGTGGTCAATTTTCTTGAGGGAACTGCTTTCTCCAGAGCTGCCGCACCACATAATTTGCATTCCACCTTAACAGTGAGGAGGGTTCTGCTTTCTCCACATCTCCAGCATCTATAGTCTCCTGATTTGTTCATTTTGGCCACTCTGAGAAACAATTATTTTTAAAGCAGCATTATTTTTCTGTTTCACTGATGAAATGATTTTTTTATTACAAAATAACATAAGCCTATTTGCAGATTTACAGAGTGATACGCTACAATTAAGTGTTTGGGTTTTTATATCTTTTTAAAGTATTTTTCTTCAATGATCTATTTTGTTTGAAGTACCTCAGAGTGCTGAAACTTTTGCACCATTCTCCCACACACAACACTAAAAACGTGGGGTGTTCCGGTCTTTGAATGACAGCATATACTGCAGTCACGCCAAGGCCCTTTCCCTTTGTACAGCTTTTTCTACATTTATATTTGTATTTCCCAGATACTTTTCACAGTCCTGCATGCAGCTCTAAGTGTACTTCCAGTCAGGGTACAGCATTCTGTGGTCCTTAGGATTCTGCTATTTAATAAATGTTAGTACCTAAAAACTAACATGGATCTTGATTTCTGATACTTTGGTTTCAGGTTTGCTATGCTAAAGAGTTAAAGGAAGGCTTTGTGGAATACACTGAACAAGTTGTCAAACTGATGGTCCCTCTACTGAAATTTTATTTCCATGATGATATCCTATAATTTTTGAATGCAAAACATTTCTAGAATTAGTTAAATTGTAGCTTGAGTGTTTGACTTTGTGTTAACTGATGTGTGGTTCACTATGATTGTTTGCACTAACTGTAATTTAAGATTGTAAACTACATTTTTTGCAGGTGCTTTAGTGTCATGGTTTTTGTTTGTGCCAAAAACAAGAAGAAAATGTTACCTATTTTCTAGTTGACAGCTTTTTCTGTGAACCACTGGAAAGATTTTAAGGATTGATATTTTTAGCAAATGTTTGTAGTTGTATATAAGAACTTTTCTCAAATATCTGTTGGTGGTGTTAAGCTAAGACTTTTTTATAATTTTTTTTTCAACGTTCCTTTTTTGAGAGACAGAGCACGAGAGGGGGAGGGGCAGAGAGAGAGGGAAGCACAGAATCTGAAGCAGGCTCTAGGCTCTGAGCTGTCAGCACAGGCCCAACACAGGGCTCGAACTCACGAACAGTGAGATCATGACCTGAGACGAAGTCGGACACTTAACCGACTGAGCAGCCCGGGTGCCCCGAAACTAAGAGTTTTCTTAATAGGTTAAGAGACCCGCTGATAACTTTCTGTGGCCTAGTCCTACATTTCAAATGTGGGTATCACCTTGGAGAAACCTTTCTTGATAAATCTGCATGTTAAATGTTTTCCTTCCTAACATGATTGTCGTAATTAATACATGGAAACATTTTTAGGCCTTAACACACACACACAATTTCGTAGATGGGTTTAAAAAAAGGGGACAGCCCAACAGAGTGGTTGAGGCCAGACCCAAACTCAGATCTTCCTGACTCCAGAGCCCCTTTGTTTTAGTTCCTCATGCAGTATCCTGTAGTGGTATCCTTTACAGAAGATGGCTTTTGCCCAAGAGAAACTTACCATGATGAGAGAGGACAAAGGGAAGTCTCACGACCTGATGTCACAACTGACACTAGATAGGGAGGGGCAGCTTGGTCTTCATTGAAACTGAAAAGGCTCTGACAGGAGAACTTAATTAGTGTTCCCAGGAGAAATATAGCTTTGGTTGCATTTATTAGTAACATTTTTTTAAATTTTCTTTTTTAAAGTTTGTTTGTTTTAAGAGAATGAGCGGTGGGGGCAGAAGGGGGGGGCGGGTGTAGGAAGAGGGAGAGAGAAAATGCCAAGCAGGCTCCACGCTGTCAGTGTGGAGCCTGACATGGGGCTCACACTCAAAACTGTGAGATCATGACCTGAGCCAAAACCAAGAGTCAGACACTTACCAACTGAGTGCCACCCCCCCACCAGGCTTCCCATTAGAAATATATATTGCATAAGTTTGGGGATGAGAACATACTAAGATATGCTCTAAGGGTCCCAGAACCTTTTATAATCATTTCTGTGTTTGCAGGTCACATTTGAGACTCACTGCTGTATTGTAGGTGACAGAAAAGACAGGGATAAGTCATATGGCCAGGGAGATGTCTGTTTTTATACACACGATATATTTAACACAAGCTCCTGGATAGCAGTCTCAGATAATCTGGCCATATGACTGGCACTCGGTGAACACTTTAACATTTACGTAAGCAGAATGAGAGAACAATCTTTCAAGGAGAGGAATTACACTAAGTGTGTCTGAAAGTATTGATTACGTTTCCTTAACAATAAAACGTGTTCGAGTGGCAGCAGCAGAATCCATGCCTCTTCTCCTGGAATGTGCGAGAGTTCGTGGTCCTGAGTATCTCACACAGATGTGGCATTTTATGTGTGATGCTCTAATCAAGGCCATTGGCACAGAACCAGACTCAGATGTCCTCTCAGAAATAATGCATTCTTTTGCAAAGGTAAATATTCTTCTCTTAAAAGTATGTATAAGGTTGTATGTTCATATATTAGTCTTGCTAAAAATAAATAAAATTCGATCCTATAACAAGTGATTTTTTTTTTATTTACTGAAAATGTTTCTTTCTTATTTTAACGTTTTAGTCCAGTCTTGATAAGTTGCCACCGTCATTTACCTAATAATCCAACTGCAGAATCTTGGCTCATCTCCAGCTCACACCTACTTTCTGTCCTATTCTCTCCTAGATGCCTCTGCTCTTCATTTTCCCTTATGTCTTCTCTGTGCTGAGATCGCCTCCTTTGGTCTGCTCCCGATGTCTCTCTCCTTTCTTTCCCTCCCAGTTCATTCTCCTTTTCTCAGGCATGAACTTGCTCAATACTTGCACTCCTCTTCCCAATATTCCTGGTCACCCTCATTGTTCATGGCTCCATGGTCTGCTCCACAGTTTGGTTTAAAAGTTCTTCATTACCTTTCATTTGTCCCCATTTACACTCTTACAGTTCACATTTCTTCTATTTTAACAAAGGAGGCCCCCCTGGGCCTTTGTGCATGTGATTTCCTCGGCCTGTAGTGCCCTCCCAGCACCCCCTTGTCCTTTCTCCCCACTGTGTTTGTGTAGACCGTGTGTGTGGTAATTGAGCTCCTAAGAAGCTGGATAGTCTGCTCCATCTTTGAGATGTCAGCTCCTAGCAGTAATGCCTGGCTTTGAAGATCTGCTCAGGACATGTTCAAAATAAAAATATTTTTTAAATTATTTTCTTTGAAGTACTGTCATATGAACATACACCAAGCAAGTGTAATCTACTCATTTAATCGTTAGTCTTCGACTGTACTGAGTTATGTTAATTTTTCTCATGCTTCCGTGTTATTCTTAACTTTTGACTCTTAAAACACTTAAATCTCATGGGTTGCTTTCTTTCCTCAATTTCATCATTAGTGCATTGAAGTAATGGGAGATGGATGCCTTAATAATGAACATTTTGAAGAATTGGGAGGCATATTGAAAGCTAAACTTGAAGAACATTTTAAAAATCAAGAATTGCGGCAAGGTAAGTTCTCCACACTTTTATTTCTGAATGTAATCCTTGACCGTTTTGGCGACCGTTTAAAAAGACATTTATTTGGGTGTGTTTTAGTTAAAAGACAAGATGAAGACTATGATGAACAGGTGGAAGAGTCACTACAAGATGAGGTAAATTATTCCCTTCAGAACTTAATTTATATGATCATTTGCATCTGGAACATTTTTAAATGCTTAAGTTTCTAATTCATTTCTGACTTGTCATTCTGATGTAATTATCGGTAATTTTTAGCAGAAGAATCTGACATGTATTTCATTTACTAATCTAGAGAATAAGTAATTGCAGTTAGCTGATTTGTGTTTTGGATGCTGTGTGAGTGTTTTTGCTGCAATACCTCCCACATGACAGCACTTCTAAGTTCACCTAGTGTTTCTTTTATATATGCCTCTCAGCAAATTTTTATTGGCTGGCGTATTCACTGTTTTAAAGATTAGTGGACTCAAAGTCAGGTGTTAAATGACTGTCTAAAGCCACACACTGCCGCAAGTCTAGGGCTTAAGGCCAGATCTTTTTGTAACAACAGCTGTCTTTCTACCAGATCACAGGATAGTGAGAATTTCCTTATAAATAATACACATGCAGTGGTTGAAATAAGTCTTCTATGTTGCTTTGTTCAGTTCTCTCCTCATCAAACCATTTGATGCCATCAGATGTATTTCAGCTGCATATTTAGGTTCCAGGATGTGGCACGTAGCCATCCTGGTGGACCAGTGCTCCCGTGCTCGGCTCATCCCCTTTCTGTGCAGGTGCTCCTGTGCGCAGCTCATCCCCTTTCTGTGCAGGGTGCTCCCACGCGTGGCTCGTCCCTTTTCTGTGCGGGGTGCTCCCGCACACGGCTCATCCCCTTTCTGTGTGGGGTGGTCCATCCCTTTCTGTGCAGGGTGCTCCCATGCTGACACACACAAATTGCTCCCAGGGATGAGGTGTTGTCAGTTAACTGACCCCACATCTCTCCACCCATCTCCAAAATTAGAAACATTCTTGCAGAAAGCAAAAAATACTACTGAAGTAAAAACACTTCTGTTTCAGAATTTGAAATGTAAGTGTGTTCCAAGGAAAGTCTTTGGAGGAAGTGCAGTACTGGCCGCACTTCTCTTTCTGTCGGCAGGTGGGAGGCGTGACACCCAGCCGTAGAGGTGCCCTTACAGTGATGAGTAGTTTAATTTCTGCATTTCCTAGATTTTTGTAAATGAATGTTACTGTTAGCAGTAGTAGTGGAGATGCCTTTTGATACATATGGGTGTTGTGTGTGTTTTTGTTTTTAGGATGATAACGATGTTTATATTCTGACCAAAGTGTCAGACATTTTACACTCAATATTCAGTAGCTACAAGGAAAAGGTGTTACCATGGTTTGAACAGCTGCTCCCGTTAATTGTCAACCTAATTGTAAGTGTTACCTCTCTTTGACCGTTATTTTAGATAGTTGACCTGGGATTGTTTCAGTGCAGCACTTGAAAACACACTTTTAGGTTAAAATGGACCTTAGAAATCCTAAAGAGTTTCCATGATTTTATCAGGTTTATTGCATTGCCCTTGATATTTTCTCATTTGATACATGCTAGAAGTTTGCTAATTAGGTTTTCCATAGTTCAGTTAAATCAGAATGCATTCCAAAGACATACAAATGACTTTTCATTATTTCAGGTTATCCGTGCCCTGCTCAGTTATCAACATAATTAGTTTTTTACAGTGGACCCTAGAGGACTCCCTTAAAATCCTTGTTACATACAGCCAGCAATCATAGATTCTGGATGATGGCCTTATGTATTCAGTCTTTAAAATACACATGAAAAGCAATCAATAGAAATTTGTCTCACTTTGGCTTTTAATCTTGTATTTAGTAGTGCAGCACGTTTTTTTAAAAACTTAGGCACATAGGACTTAGCCTGTTGAGTGGATATATAAAGTTAACATCTTCATAACTTTTGTTGTTCTTTAAATACAGCATTATCATTGTCTTTTTTGTGAATTAAATGTACCTACGTTGTTGCTGCTGTTGGTTCTTCCGGTATATGCTGATATCAAATTGTGGGATTTTATAAAAAAATCATACAAAGTCTTTTAAACCTGTACTTCCTTAAGTCTGTGTTGTAATTTGAGGATTCACAAGAAGTGATTATTACTGTGTTTTTCGTTGCCTGTATCTGGAATATCCATGTAAGCTTATCACTTACATGATAGCCTATAGTGAATTTTTTTTTAACGTTCTTCGTGTACTCCAGTATTCAGAGCTTAAAAGATTATCTCTTTTATAGTGTCCACATAGACCATGGCCAGACAGACAATGGGGATTGTGCATCTTTGATGATGTCATAGAACACTGTAGTCCAGCCTCTTTTAAATACGCAGAATATTTTTTAAGGCCGATGCTCCAATATGTGTGCGACAGCAGCCCCGAAGTGAGGCAAGCAGCTGCGTATGGCCTGGGTGTCATGGCACAGTACGGTGGAGAGAACTACCGGCCTTTCTGTACAGGTACTTTCTTTTGCTCAGTCCCAGGCATCCCTTTTATCGCTCTCTCGTTCTCTTTTCCACATCCCCAAACATTATATAGCTATTTCTGCTGTGTTCTTCTTCCCTTTTTCAAACGTCTCACCTATAACATATACAAATTGACCGTCTTTATTCTTGGAGATATGGAAATGAAATCTGAGTGGAATCAGAGCCTCCCCACCCCCATCCCCCAGAGTAGAGTTCATTTTGGGCTTGGGAGGTACACCCCAGCTGCGGCATAGGACTTTTAAAACATATGGGGGTCCCTGTAAAGCCAGCGCAGGAATACAGCTGGAGGCTTTTAAAAGCTTGAAGTACCCTGAGATGATCGGGAATTGAATGTTGAGTCTGCCGACCTCTTGGGCTCCCAGTTAGTGGAGCATTGGTGCTCCGGCCCATGCCGGGGCAATCCTCCTTTCCTTCTTAGGTCTGGCTCTGCAGCCAAGAAAACAAAACGGGCTGGACACTTCAATAATTCTTCACTACCATCGATAACTGGACCGAAGATAAAAAGAAATATTTATATAAAAAATACTGGCTTTGCATGAAAATGTGAGGTTTTTAAAAACTGACCTTTTTGCAATTGCTTATTTTAGAAGCACTTCCAATGCTGGTAAGAGTTATTCAGTCTGCTGATTCTAAGACCAAAGAAAACGTCAATGCCACAGAGAACTGCATCTCAGCAGTGGGGAAGATTATGAAGTTCAAGCCTGACTGTGTGAACGTGGAAGAAGTCCTGCCTCACTGGTTGTCTTGGCTTCCACTACATGAGGATAAAGAAGAAGCTGTTCAGACTTTCAATTATCTGTGTGACTTGATCGAAAGGTAAGAAAAAGGACAAATAGACCTCACTTTCTTCCTCTCTAAACAGTGTTTCCTGTGCACAGCCCCTCAGATGTATAGGTTTCTAATAATGTTGTCTTTAAAACCGTATCACAGTTAACGCTGCCTTACAGTTAGATCTAGTTTGACTTGTTCTTTATGGAATTCAACAGATGAGGCATTATAGAACATAATGTTTTAAGAAGATTCTCTTTCAAGGGTGTCTGCGTGGCTCGGGTTAAACATCCAACTCTTCTTTTTTTTTTTTTTTTTTTAACCATTCATAGCGGTGCCTGGATGGCTCAGTTGATTAAGTGTTCAACTTCCACTTAGGTCATGATCTCAAAGTTCGGGAGCTCGAGCCCCATGTCAGTTCTGTGCTGACAGCTCAGAGCCTGGAGCCTGCTTTGGATGCTGTGTCTCCTTCTGTCTTCCCTCCCCCATTCACGCTCTGTCACTCTTTCTCAAAATTTTAATGTTTGTTTGTTTGTGAGAGAGAGTGCGTGCACATGCAAGCAGGGGAGGGGCAAAGAGAGAATCCAAAGCAGGCTCCGTGCTGTCGGCACAAAGCCCGATATGGAGCTCGAATTCACGAACCATGAGGTTATGACCCGAGCCAAGTCAGATGCTCAACTGACTGAGCTGGCCAGGTGCCCCAGGCATCTGACTCTTGCTCTCAGCTTGGGTCCCCTCTCAGGGTCATGAGTTTGAGCTCCACACTGGGCTCCACACTTGGCATTGGAGTCTACTTAAAAAAAAAAAAAAAGTTTCCCTTTTAATGTTGTTGCCCGTTTATGTCACCAAAATGTCACCCCATTTATCTATTGTTTATTTATTTGGCTTTAGTTTTTTTTTTTAATCTCCGCTTTACAGAAGTAGAATTGACATGTATCATGTGTTAGTATAATGAGATCAAAGTATGTCATTAGCACCATGGTTTTTGGATTCAAGAATCAGTGGTATAAGGAAAGTATTCCAGTTGGGTAATCAAGATCTGGCCCTGGGCTCTGGCATTATTAATGCTCTTTTGTGTCCATGAGTATACCTAGGAATTGCAACAACCTGGAGGCTACAGAAGCTATCAAATCAAAGGCATGTTCTGTGGTGTGTTTTTCTAAGTCCAAGTACTCCTAAATGTTAATCAGATCGAGGCTCTGTCACTACTAATTACTGCTTTTATTCATGAATAACTCCAAGGGCTACAACCACTCATCTGGAATTCGTAGAAATAGGCCAGTGAGCATATTCCTTCATATCTGTTTAAGTTCAGGTTCACACAAGTGTATTTGTGTGTTCCCACTGAGAACTGTCATTAAGGGATGTGCTAACCCTGGTGGAGACTGCACACTCATTATCTACTACTGCCTTTGAAGTGACCACTTCTCCATCATGCTGTTTGATCATCTCCCTTGGAAAGGACTGTTGTGAAATTCTCTTAATGACAAAGACTGGAATCCCAGTTAAATACACTGTTATGTTTCTTTCCATTAAACTTGCCTGATGTTTACTTCCTGGCTTACTCTTTGTTTTGTTTTGTTTTCTTTTTTTATTAGAGAGGGAGAAAGAGAGAATGAGTCGGGGAGGGGCAGAGAGAGAGGGAGACACAGAATCGGAAGCAGGCTCCAGGCTCCCAGCTGTCAGCACAGAGCCCAATATGGGGCTCGAACTCACAAACCACGAGATCATGACCTGAGCCAAAGTTGGACACTCAACCGACTGAGCCACCCAGACGCCCCCTGGCTTACTCTTAAAATGCCCATAAATCCTTTTGAACTTCACATTTATTTGGAAATCATTTTGCCATATAAGAAACTGCTATTCTTAGTAATAGCTCTGTTGTTTTGTTTTTTTTTTAAATAAGTCACAAGTTATTTATAAGGCACTTAGAACGTCCTATTTATTGTTTGGCCCTTGAAACTAACCTGAGATGAGCCGAGTATTTTTCTTAATTTACATGGGAAAACACTGAAGAGCTAATAAATAAAATTAGCTGGTTTTCCTGCCACTGAATTTGATATTAATGAATGCGTAATCATTTTATAAAGATCCTATAGCAGAATTCCATATTGGGGGAAGGATATAGGAAAATATGAGTGCTTGCGTAATTTTTCCTTAATTTTCATTTATAATGGCTTTCTTCTCTTTGGCCAGTAATCACCCAATCGTTCTTGGCCCCAACAATACCAATCTGCCCAAAATATTCAGTATAATTGCAGAAGGAGAAATGCATGAGGCAATTAAACATGAAGATCCTTGTGCCAAACGTCTGGCTAATGTAGTCCGCCAAGTACAGGTAAGATGTTTTGCGGAAATAAAACAGTTTCTTGGGGAGGTGTTTTGTTTTCTGTTCTGCAAGGAAAAAAATAGGTACCCAATGAGCAAAGGAAGTTTCATTTTTATATTCTCTTGTCTCCAACCTTCAGATTACTTAATGTATACTGCGTCTATATGTTCTCATCTTTTATCAGTACTAAAATGTTTGTCTTAAACTTGAGATTCTTCGAACCTTCCACTTGGTGCTTAGTGCATATTCCTGTAGAAGGTTTTTTTTGCATTGTCTGTGAAGAAAAAAAGATGAGATTTTAATAGTAAATGAGCTGTCAGCTACCAAAGTTTTTTAAGTGATTTATGCTCCTTATTCCTTTGTGTTGTTTACTTGACTGTGTCCTCTACCTAATATAGCTTTTTCAGGTTAGATTGGATGAAGAAAACAGTGTGAGTGAAATGAACTTTAAAGAAATGCATAGATTTCTTGCTTTTATGATGGCACTCCTCAAACTACATCGACAGAAAGTATTTGGCATTATTATAGTCTACCTAATGATGATTAGTAAAATACTTCTAAATGACCATTTCACTGAATCTAAATGTATGAAATTGTTTTTTCCTAGACTTCTGGAGGATTGTGGACTGAGTGCATAGCACAGCTCAGTCCCGAGCAGCAGGCAGCCATACAGGAGCTCCTGAACTCTGCTTGAAGGGCCTTAATATCACCACCAGAAAACTAACTCCAAATAAACGTTTACCCTTTTGTTTAGGTTTCTTTGTTTTGTTTTTGAGCAAAAGAGAACGGTAGAGTTGTGTTGTGTAGGCCATTCTTCTGCAAAGCCACAACAGCAGGAAGAGAAGCACTGGGTTTCAGAGTGGGGTGTGAAAGGATTTCTATGGTACCACTGAAGAGGTTCCCTGTAAGCCCTACAGCAGCACTGAAGAGTATTTTTCTATTGGTATAAGCCACCCACGTGAAGGTGAAAGGGAAGGAAAACTAATTTTTCTCATTAGACTTAAGGAAATTTAAGAAAAAACAGCTTTAAGATCAGTTATTCGGTGTAGATGTGTACTAAAACAATTTGCTATACACCTAGTGTTCTATTAATTGGATGTGAGTCTTTTTGTAGGGTAGAAAGAAGCCTTCTACCCAACAAACCAGTAGATCTAAAAATTGGAAGAAAAAAAAAAAGCTGAAGACAAAAACAAGCATGAAGATGTCATATTTGATGTCACTTTCAGTTTTTTCCCAAAAGGCTTATGCAGTGACTCAATCTGGAAAGCTCTCCAGCTTCCAGCCCTTGAATGTGAAGTGTCGTTGGCATGTCTGGCAGTAGTGTCTCATTCACTCAATAAACAACATTGAAGTACAAAGAGATCTGTGTAGAAATTCAGTACTGTCTGGCTTTGATTCATTTAATGTTTTTAATATAAGAATAAGCTAATATTTTTTTAGAGTAGCAACTATGTCTTCGAAGGTTTTCTTTTTCCCCTAATATTTTCCTTGTGCATTTAGTTTTTACCATCTTCCACTTTAATTTAAGCTAAGTTATATACCTATTCCTTCACAACTGGTATCCCTTTAAAGTTTGCAAATTTCAACCAATAGTTTTTTTAAACTAGTGTTGTTCTGGTAGATAAAAAAGATCTGGCTTAGTATTTTCACTGCAAATTGTAATTGATAGGGAGCCACGTACAACTTTCAGACTTTTAATTTTATGATAAGTATTATGCCTAAAATTATTTGCTGATAAATTCAGTAAAATGTATGAAATTTTTTTCCTTGTGTGTTAACCTCATAGCAGTGAATGACTTGCTGTTGTTTCTTTACATGATTTTTCTAAGGGATCTTAATAGATTTCTGTTGAAACTTCAGTGTTAACACTTTTATAGTTTGTACTAAATTTAACCGTGATACAAAAATGAATTTTATGAATAGATCAGAATTTAAAATTAAAGATTTTTTCTTTAAGTGATTTGCATTACTTTATTAAAGTTAAATCTGAAATGGAATAGAAAGAATGAGCTAAAATTAAGATGGTTCACTTGGTAGCAAATATCCTTCAAATATATTTTCAGTTTTCAGCACATTGTTAGCCCAGAAGCTTCAGTATCCTGCAGAACAGCATTGAATGACTTCACCAGCACAATCATTGCTTTCAGTGGGCACCTACTCGACTGTTTTGTAACGTGTGTGGGTAACACTCGGAACTACTTTATACCCTGTATTCCTGTTGGAGTAAAATGTGTCAAGACAACTCCTTTGTGCTTTCTTATGTAGAATAGAGTTTGGAAGGCCGAATCGTGTACTGATTGCAATAGCAGTTTCGCTGTTGTTTTTAATTTAAATTATTACAACACTTAAAACATGTTAAAAATGTGGCGCGCCTGCCTAAGTTGAAATGGAAGTGTGATCAGAAGATGGCTGCATGTTTTTGGAGAATCTAGTGTCTGCAAAGCTCTGTACTAAGTACTTACGGGTAAGATTCGTAGCTTCTGGTTTAAACACTAATGGGAAAGTCAGAAGATGGACCAGTGAAGAGTCAGTAAGATCCCTGAAAGAAGTAAATGGGTGCAGATCCATCCTCGGGCTAGAAATAGAGAAACAACTGAAACTGAATCGCATTCATCAGGGAAAGGTTGGTATTAAAGGCTGTTACTGTGCCATGATCCGGAAATCCAGGGCTTGTAACTAATTGTAATATGTTCATGAACTAACGGTTCTTTGGAATTATCTGGGGACACATTTTTAATACCTCATTTTATCTACACAAGATGAAAATTCATGTTTTTTCCTTTTGTACCAAATTTAGTTGCCTGGTGGCCTTGCGTGTCAGCCAACAATGGTATATTTATGAATCCAAGCTATTTCTGGAGGAAAATCATGTGTGTGGCTCTTACGTTTTCTGGGTATTTTGTAACAAAGGATTAAGTTACCTGCACAAGTATTAGAAATTTGTAGCAAAACTTATTTGGAGTATTTTTTTAATGCTGTAAATTTAAAGAAAAGTAAAATTGTCTTAAAGCTAATTTGACACTTCTGTAATGGGAGGCAACTTTATCATAACTCTGGAGTTGTAGTTTGACTAACCGAACCATCACTAAATAATACGCAAATAAACATTCTTGATGCACCTGGTCTCCTAGTAAATAAGGGGGGTGCATATTAATAGTGGTGTGAGCATTATATTTTTATTAAGGCATTTTAAGCAATTTGGAAGCCCCTCACAGCAAGGTAATGTTTTATTTAGTATGGCTTCATTCTGCCTACAGGTATTGGATAAAACAGTTTTTTGGCTTTCATCTTGTTGCATAGAAATCACTGCTCCTATTCCTCTTTGCCTCAAAGGAGTGATGGCCAGAAGCTGCCGTCTTTGATTTCCTTAGCTCCAAACGTGGGAGTACCACTGTTTCAGAAGAGTGTGAACCAACTGCAACAAGGAGGCTGGGATTTTCATTTCCAACACTTGAACTTCTGAAGCAGAGGGGCAGGGGTAACAAACCATTCTGGACTAGACTTGCTTACCCCCCTCCTTACCCCCTCCCTTTTTTTTTCTTACACAGACCTTTAGTCCAGACAGTCATTGCCTAGACTATACAGATTATATTGTTTATATGAATGGATAAATACTAACACTTAGAAGATAAAATTATAGCTCAGTTGTTACTTTCTAAAAACTGAATCCAGAAGCAGTGTGGTATGTATGGATTTTATACAAAACCTCTCCCAAATGCTTTAATTCTAGTTAAGGCAGAAGAGTGATTCTGAAATGTTTCTTGGTGATTCTGATCTTTCATTGTTTCCTCAATCTATAAGTCTCTGTCCTCCTTGACTGTCCTTCAGATAGTGATGGAAATCAAGACTTGCGCCATTTGCTGTGGATAAGGAATTAGTTCCCCTTTGTCTCTGGACACTTTGTGACAGATGGGTAGAAAATGTCCAAGTTTTCCATTGCAGCCTGACCACACCCTGTGTTTTCAGGCACACCTTGAAAGAAAGATCATGGTGTTGAGTGATGAAAACCAGGGGTCAGCAAACTTTCTAAGGGACAAAAAATATTTTAGGCTTTGCAGGCTCAAAGGTCTCTCTTAAAACTACTTAGCTGCCATTCTAGCGCCAGACCGTCCATAGGCGATACCAAACGAGAGGGTGTGGCTGTGTCTCCTTAATCTACAAAAACAGGCTGGCCATGGTTTGCTGACATCTGATGAGAACCATTGCTTGGGTTCAAAAGTCTCACTGTACATGTATTGACACCTTGGACAAATTAACCTATGTCTTAGTTGCCTTCTCAAAAGTGGGAGCAATAGCACACACGCATTTTGGCTGCAACTACTTACTAGTCCAGGCCCTCCTAGAGCCCCCGTATTTCTCTGCCTTAGTATTCGTTTGTAAAACAGTCTGTCGACGGATCTACCACACGGGATGGTTGTGAGGCCTGAGGTAGTACAACACCAGAAGCACCTGAGACTGCCTAGCGGTGCAGGTTTGCTATTGAGTACACGTTTGAAGAGGTAGAATTAAATCTGGACAGTATCTGCTTTTACAACTAGTTACGTCATAGTTACTCCATGGAACGTGGAGTAGTACTTCCCAGCGAGAATGCGGTCACTTATATTAAGCTGTGTAACAAACACTGACCGGCTTCAGTGCAAGTGCTGAGCAAAGCGTCTGCCTTTAGGTAGGGGACACCCAATTACATAACAAGGAAAAGTAGAAGGTAGGATAGGAAGAAAGAGAACTAACATATCAAGTACTGCAAATAGGGGATGTACACAGTGGCCTTAAACTGCCCACTCATGGTCCCTGAAGAAACCCCTGAGCTGAAGCTTTCTGCCTGGCCTTGCTGGCACCGTGGAGCTGGTGCTAGGGTTGTGTCACAGATGGCCCAGAGTACCAGACCAGCACGTGCTCTCTTGGAGGGTGAAGGAGCCGGGCACAGAAAGCCTGTCGGGTCCCCAAACCCTCTCCGCGCAACCGACCACAACTCCTGCCTAGGGGAAGTATTGCCAGTAAATCACAATCTGGTTGACCGTGAAAAATGCCGAAGTATTTGTTGCCCATTTAGAGACCTGGTCCCAATCCCCAACTGCAGCTAACTCTTGTTTCACAATATGTAGAAACCTAGTGGGGCAGGTGAGCTTTTTGTGTCTGTTTCTGTCCCACGTGTACATGACTGCCCCTTACCACTTAATTTCACACTCCCAGACTTTTCCCAAACTCCTTCCGGCTTCAGCTGACACATCTTACGTAGGTCTAAAATTTGGCCTTTATAACAAAGACCCTTTGACTGCAAGTAGTGGGAAAATACAGCATTGTGGCCATATTGCACTTTGTGCTTTAAAAATATTTAAGGTTTATGGGGCATCTAGGTGGCTTAGTTGGTTGCGTCCAATCTCGCAGTTCATGAAGTTGAGCCCCATGTTGGGCTCTGTGCTGCCAGCTCAGAGCCTTGAGCCTGCTTTGGAATCTGTCTCCCCCTCTCCCTGCCCCTCCCCCGCTCACATTGTCTCAAAAATATTTTTGAAAATTTTTAATAAAAATATTTAAAGTTTATTAAAGGGGCACCTGAGTGGCTCAGTCAGTTGAGCTTCCTTCCAACTCTTGGTTTCAGCTCAGGTCATGATTTCATGGTTCGTGAGTCTGAACCCTGCATGGGTCAGTGCAGAGCCTGCGTGGGATTCTCCACCCCCCACCCCGCTCGCACACTATTTTGAGAGAAAAACACAACCTGTCAATTTTTAGTGTTCCTGAATTGTCTCAAGAGAAAAGG